ACCAACAGCAACATCAGATGCATCGACGGAGATTTTACGACGAAGTTTAGGTTGAAATGTACCAAGAGCGTGGTATTGATGAGAGATGATTTGAGAGAATCGAGGGCTTGTTTGTCAGCGGGGAGAATTTTGAATTTTCGTTCTTTTGAAATTAAACGATAAAGTGGAGCGGCGATGGAGGAATAGTTTTTTATGTACCTGGAGAAATAATTATAACATCCTAGGAGGGATTGAAGTTCACGGACAGTTTTAGGGTATCGGAGGTTAACTAGGGCTTGAACCTTTTTAGGGTCGGGACGGATTCCTTCACCTGAGACTAAATGTCCTAACAATAAGATTTCGGTTTCACCGAAGTGACACTTTTCTGGCTTAACTTTTAGATTGTATTTTCTCAATCTTTCTAACACCAATATCGTATTAGCGATGAGATCGGAAAAAGTTACACCAACAACAGGGATATCGTCAAAGTATCCAATACAATTGACATATTGTAACCCTTCAAGAACTTTGTTCATGAATCGCTGGAATATGAATGGAGCACCGGCGAGTCCCATGGGGAGTCGTTTGTACTGGTACTTACCATCCGGGGTTACAAACGCTGTTTTCTCTCTTTCGGAAGGAGGAAGTTCTATTTGGTGGTAACCTTGTGCCAGGTCGAAAAGGTTGAAGAATTGTCCACCTCGAACGACTTCGAGACAGTCGTCGATTCTGGGCATGGGATGTCTCGGAATTTTAGTGAGACGATTCAAGAGACGATAATCAGTTACCATCCTATGAGAGCCATCTGATCGAGGAACCAATAATGATGGTGCACCTCCAAGCGCATCCGAGGGTTCGATCAGGTCATGTTGGATCATGTCATTAATGATCTCACGAAAAACTCCACGGCGATGAATGTTACAGTTGTAGGGTTTTTGGTACGGGATAATTTGATTTTCTAAATCAATTTTCACTGGACAAACAGATGATGAGACAAATCCAAGATCGTTTTTGTGTTTGGAAAAAACATCTTGATAGTTTTCGAAAAGTTCGAGAAGTTCATTTTGTTGAGATGAACTTAAATTTGGGTTGATTCTTGACTTAATCTTGTCAAGAAAGGATTGAGTTTTTGATTCGGTAATTTCGTTTTCACTAACGAGCATACACCGAGCGATTATTGATTGTTGAGGAAAATTTTTGAATTTGTTTTCTTCAGATGGGAGTTGAATTGTTGTTAGATTTGGATGATGAGTGGATGGAGTTGAGGAATTGTTAATTGTTTGAGTTGAATGAGTTGAATGAGTTGAGGGAGAGTCCAAGATATAATCGGAAGCAGCATTACCAGTAACTTTAATAGAAGTTTCAATGATGAAATCAGTTTCATCGGGAGTACAGAATCGGAAATAAAAGTCAGGGTTATTTAATTCGGGAGAATTGGGGGTTTCTTTGACAGAGATATCATACTCATTTCCGTCAGAAAGAATTTTCATGTAAAAAACATGAAGGAAGGCATTCCCTAACAAAAATACGGGTTCAAATTTTTCACAAATTTGGAATTTGATGATGCGGGATTCGTCCATACCATTATGCTTAAATATTGCATACGAAAAACCAAAAGAATCTACATAGACTCCTGATGCAATACCTTTTAGGGTTCTGTTCACCTTTATAACGTGAGCTTGAAGGAGGGAAGCTAGACCGGCATCGATAACACAAGCTGACGCTCCGGTGTCTATCAACACTTTACCTTCTTGAACACGAGTTTTATCGGGCAAGCAGAGGGTTAAGTTGACTTGAGGCATATGAGAAATTGCAGTGTTTCCAATTTGGGAAATTTGCTTAATATCTTTAGATATTGCAAATCCTACATTTCCTCTGAGTCCGCTTTGCATAGGTTCGAGGAGAGGTGGTCGGTTATCTAACTGTATTGGATTAGTGAACATTTGGGAACTGAGACAATAGCATTAACTGGTTGCGGAGGAATTGAATTTGAGGAACTGGCTGATCTTGATTAACCAAAGTGGTTAAGTTAGTTGGGGCTGCTGTTGAGTTGAATGGTTGTCGAACGTAATTTTGATTTTTCCTGATAAGGAGGTTTAATTCCTGCAGCTTCTTGAGCTTTTCGATAAGCTAACTTAGAACAAACATCAATTGTATGATCATCACCTTTGCAATAATTGCAAAATTTAGCATCTTTAGATGCGGATGAAGATGCATTGGGTTTCTCTTATAGTTAGAGTTAGATTGGGAATAATTAGGATTATTAGTTTTAAGCATTCGAGCAACTGAAGATTTATCATTGGAATGATTTGGGTTAGGGTTTTTCGAGGGAACCGTTTTTTGGACCTTTTGTCTATTTTGATTATTTTTATAATCAAAATGAATTCTAGTAAGATGATTGTAAATTCTCGTACGATCATCATTAATACCAAGGGTATAAATATCATCTCGGATATTTCGAGGGATATGTTGGAGAACAAGATTGAGAAAGAGGGAATCGTTGGTTGGACCAAACGCTTTGGTGACCAATCTTCTCATATCGGAGAAGAATTTTTCCGGGTGGAATTCCGGGTTGTAACGGCAGTTTCGGAGCTCAAAATCTGCACTATATTGACTTTCGGGAGTCTTCAATTTTTCAAAAAGGGCATCGACGTATTCCTGGTAATCGGTAATATCATCTAAACCAACGGCACTTGTTTTTATTTCGTGGGCCATAGACTTTTGGAGAAGTCTGAGTCTTGTTTCGTCATCCACATTCTCTTTGGATAAACGATCCTTGGTCTTTACCAGCCAAGAATATTGGTCCTCACCAGAGCGGAATTCTGGTACATGAGGGTCAGTCTTCAATTGTTTCATCAATTCGAAGAAAGTTGATGGAGTAAGATTGTCATTGGAATTGACAGAGGGAGTGATAGATGAAGGTAATTGCTCACTAATATGAGCACCAAAAGAATTTAAAATGTTCTTTATTTTGTTGAGAACACCAAGAGGAAGAGGAAGAGCATAAAGCTCAGAGTGGGTTAGATTAAAGATGGTCTCTTCATCACGACCGATATTCTTTAAGAATATTTGTATTTCCGCTTCGGAAATATTTTGGGTTCGAAATTCCAAAATCCAATTTGGAATGGGTTGGTTTTTGATCTCGTTAAGATCGAGGTTTTGAATATCTTCAATGGTTACATTTTCACCAATAAGAAGAAGATGAGTTGAGATAACATCATTAAGCTTTTTCGTAGCCAATGATCTGATTGGAATTGGAACATTCCACTTATTAAAGAGTTCGAGAATCTCATGGTAAGAGAGATCTCTGAGAGATTTGGATTTTTGAATGACTGTAGAAACACGAGTCGGGGGTCTAGGGTTAACTGGGGTAAAAGTATCTTGAGGTGATGGAGGTGGAGGAATGATTGTATCATCCTCGGAGAGTCCTGATTCAGCATCAGTTAGATTGAGGATCGGCGGTAGCCTTTGCAGCCATGGCGCGAGCAGCAGCAATACGAGTAATCGCAGCAACACGAGAACGTTTAGGTGGCATATTGATGGAAAGGGAAAAGATAATTCAATAGAATTGGAGACGGAAATAAAGAAAACACAAAACACAAACACGGGGAAAAACACAATGATCCTGCCTGGGTCGCCAATTTGTGGGGGAAAATTTGAGATGAGGAGGTTAGATGATCAATTTGAGATCGATGGATGTGATTGAGATAAAACTCGGAAAAGTCTGTAGGCTTGAAGACAAGAGTTCAGAAGATTTTCGGTCCCACAAAATACCGAATACACGATTCTTTTAGGATCACTGAGTTTCTCTATTGTACTTACGCTTGTGTTTTCACTTTCACTGATAATTCTAAAGAATTCAGATTTGGACAATTAAACATAAATTGTCTAATTAAAGAAGGTTGAATTTTAGGAACTTGAGAGATGGATGGATTGTAACACTTAGAAGTGCAGAATCACCTTAATTAAGAATTGAGAGATTAAAGATGAGCAAGTTAACTATTTTAATGTTAAACATTGACTGACTATTATAGAGGGAAAATTATTCTTTTTAGAATAAAAGCAAAGGGGGTGACAATTTAGGGATATCAATTAATGATGATAAGGGGTTACAATTAATAAGGGGAAAACAAATTAATCAAATTAACCAAGTTAATCATATTAGTGATGAGGTGAAACTATTGTTACAAAGTAACTCTTTTAGTCTCTATGTCTCGACATTATGAACAATATGGTTAACATGTTGAAAAAGATAAAAAGATAAAAATTAACCAAGATAAGTCTTTAGACTTAAACAATGGTAAAAGCTAAAAAATAAAAGAAAGAAAAAAAGAAAGAGGGAGAGAAAGAAAAATTCGGGTCTCTTACTTTTGTTACCAATTTTTGGTCAACTTAAAAGTTGAAGAGATTTGGATAGAAACAATTAAGAAAATTAGTTAATTGAAATTAACTGAATCATCTTTAACTATATCTTTAGGTATAGAATTGAATTTAGATCAATTTCCATTGGTTAATTAGTTGAGAATATTGTAAATTCTTAATCAACTCAATCAGTTAATCAGGATACTAATTAATTAGATTGGTTAAGAGTAATAATTAAGAAATTTACAACTATAGTTGTGGGAGTGGGAAAACTAATGTTAACAATGGGAAATTAAGAAACAAAATTTAAATTGTTGAATTTATAAAAATGAAAATAAAAAGAAAAGCACAACAATTAACTAATTGTTGAGATGAAGAAAAAGGAAATTAGAAAATTTAAATTGATTCCAAATCATGATAGTGATGGAAAAGGAAGCCTGAGGATTTCAAGATTTTCTACCCTTCAGTCAGTATCAAACAAATGACCTTAATCTTGACCTAATCTTGTTTGTCATGTCAACTTTTCATGAAATGTTTCAGTTAATTTCTTGGCATTTAGATTCTCAATATCTAGAATTAGTTATATTGATGGAGAGATGAACATTGATTTGATTGCAAATTGACTAATCAAATTTAATTTGATTGTATAAATGACTTACCAGGAATCTCATCTCGGTTGCATTAAATTTGTGGGTCCAAGTTTCAAGTCTAAGTTTGACAAATTTATCAATAATTACCCGGCGGGCATTTTGTTTGAGTGTATCATTGGCAAATGAATTACGTGGTGAGGAAAAGTGATTAACTAAATTGTATCGTAGTGATTTAATATCCGCTTCAATTAGCTGTTCACTGTTAACTAAATTAGAGTTGACACTTTCATTGTGATGATTTTCATTTGAATCGTTAATTGTTAATGGTGGTAATTGAGTTGTTGATGAATTCAATTGACGTTTAACTCGGGTAACTTTGTAATTTAATTTGTTTACCAATGGTGATAATTTATCGTGATTAAAATTTTCATAATTTGCTGATTTTATTAATGTATTTAGATGGTAACAATTAGTATTATCCTCACAATTAATGTACACAATTAAGGATACTAATAAGTAATATTGAAAGATGATTAAAATCAATCCTGGAAGTTTAATCATTTTCATCACAACATAAACACAATGTAAATGTAAACAATTAACTAATTATTTGGACTTACTTATAGCTGTAACACTAAATTAAATGTTTAAAATTAAATTAACATGTTGTTCATCAATTGATTGTTACAATTAAGATGGAGAGGACAAAATGAATATGAAATTAGTTGAGAGAAAACAGGAAAAGGAAAAGCTTTTGATTAATATGATCAACAATCAATTGATTGTCGGCAATCAGATTGCTATATGATGACGATATGATGATCAAGGTGATTAAGATGAGAGGGAGAGAGAGAGGTGAAGATGATAACGATGATGATAATGATGATAATCAAAAAAAAAGAGGTTGCAAATACATTAACTAAATCAAATTGTCGATATTGTTTAAAATTAAATCAACCTAATCGTCTCGGTACATTGACTGTTAAGCTTTTTTTTTCAATTACAATCAGTTGATTGCTGTTATAATCATCATCTTAATCATGATCATCATGATCATCAATGTAAGAGAAATGATATTAATCGGAAAGTCAGAAAAAAGAAAAAAAAAGTTTTTTTCTCTTCGTCTTTGATTTGGTTCTAGTTCTGAGTTCGAGTGTACATAAAGTTGCACTTTCGGCTAAACAGTTCGAGAAAATTTTCCCTAACCTAATAATTATGGTTAATTATTATTTAGTTAATTGTTGACAATCAATTCTTGTTAGTTAATCTATTATTAGATTACTGGTGAACCAGAATTTTTCCCAACCAATGTTTCTCGTGATTCTCATAACCATTTATTAATTGTTACCATTGATTGTTGTCTGATTATTTGACTCGATAATTGGCTGATTACTGGCGGGAATTATTTCGCTTAACAATTAACCTGAAAAACTTTTGCACAATTTGATGAGTATTTCTGATAATTAACTGGTTACAGTTTTACAATTTGATTGTTAAAAGTTGATTACTTTCAATGGTTGATCATTTTTTACTGATGTTGTTGTTATTTCATATTATATATGCTTGGTTAATTGTTAATTGATATTGATGATAACTTTTAATTGTTAATTAAACCGTTAATCTTGTTATTGACATTGTTTGTATTGTAATGGTAATTTTTTTTCTCACTATCTTATTGTTGTACCAACAATTAGCTAAATTTACAACTTACTGTTAACTGATTAACTTGCTTCGTTACTCATTCACCAAACTGTAAACCTTAATTTAGTTTATTTAATTTGTAAACAATTAACATCTATCGATAGTGATAGTTTTTACAGCCTGATAATCAACAACTTTTCATTAACAATTAGCGAAAGATATGATTAGGGAAAATGATCCTTCTCTAAATCAAATCAACAATCAAACTAAATCATAATCAATTTGCGCTCTCATGATGTTATCGAAAAACTTTTATCGAAAGTTTATCAACTTCGAACCAAGTCTTACCATTTTCGAAAAGAAATGTCGACTTTTAAATGAACTGATCTTTCGAATTCGTTAATTTTTTCTCTTCGAGCATTTCGATTCGATTTAATTGTTATTAACAGTCCTAAACAAATCGACTACTGATCGGCAAGAACAATTTACCTTTCGATTCAGTCTTTTTCGCGCCAAGTCTTAAACACGATCATTGATCAAAGTGATCTGATTGAACTAATTGGCATTTCTGGTTTTCCAAATCACTTTGCTTACCTTTCAAATATCAACACCAATGTGCTTATTGGTTTACAATATTAACTTTTATGATTAACTTTAATTGTTATTGTTTTAACCCATCATCTGGAAAGTGATAATCATTAACTATTGATGATTTATCTAAATGTCAATTGATTCAATAGATGATTAAGATAATCTTCATTTCCTGTTCCTCTTTTATGTATTTGAATGTGCTCATCATTTTGACCAATTGATAATCAGCTTGTGTTCATCCAAGGAAACGGAAACACTATTGATAATTTTGATTATCTTGTTAATGAAAAACTTTAATCAACTTTTCAAAAAAAAATGATTATAAAACTATTGGTGATTTATTGATGATCCATTTTTAATCATTTTGATTCGCTTGGCTTATGAACCTTTTCTTGATTGTTTATCAACTTATCATTTAACAGATAATTAAATTAAATCATAAACAAGTTTCTGTCTATCAATCAGTTGATTGTTCAACAATCAAGATATTATATCATTGTGATTGAGGAAAAGACTTTTTTTCTGATGACAATTTTGTTTACCTGTCTAATGGATGATGATGTGATTATGATTATCTGTTGATTAGTTAAATTACAAAAGTAACAATTTACTCAACCATTTCAAAGTTATCATGATAAATGAGCAAGTGATAAAATTTTCTCATCCTAATCACCTTGATTTAGTTTCATTTTTATCATCATCATCAATTGTTTCAAATTGAGTTTGTCAAAAATTTACTCACACTGGGTCAGTGGTTTTGTATTTTGTTCATCAATTAAATCAGATTAATCTGATTCATTCACTAGCTGACTGAGTAACTTTGATAAATCATGATTACTATTCAAATCCCCATGAGATTAATTCATTTATTTCATGATTCACAAATTGATTTTACTTTCATCATATTAAATATATAAACAATTCCAATGAATTTTATTATGATAAAACTTTTCTCTCATCACCAACAGAAGCGGCAAAAAATTGATTCAAATTGATGGTCACTTCAGTTTATTTCATCAAATGACCTCTTGACAGAAAGGAGAGATGACCTTTGATAAAAATCAAAGTATCTCACTCATCTTGATGAATTTGCTTTTGATAAATGTTTACAGTTATATGAAAATATTATCCGATAAAAATATGATGACTATTCATGAAAAACAATATATCAACTTGAAGTTATTAAGATGATGATGATAAACAACTGATGTAACATATAAGAGATGTTATTATTGATAGAAGATGCAATTGATAGAGTGAATTTTTTTTTATCTTCCTACTTATCATCATCATCATCTCTGTATGTCATGATAACATTGGATAGAAAACTTTATCTTCATCATCATTTCAGACTGATGATAATAGACAACATAAAATATCAACATCAGCATCTTCATCTTCCTCTTCCGAATCATCTCTCTCTCTCTTTTCATGACTCATTCATCATGTTAATAGTCACACCATCAGATTAGATTTATTTACATCTTAACTAGAGTGTTATTCATATCATGAAATAGCTCATGAGATGCTAATTATCTGACTGATGAGCTCAGAAAAAAAGTTGCGAATCAAAATGAAACTTTTTTCTAATAGTATCGATTTTACATTTCGAAACTTTTGTTGAAGTTTCGAGAGTTTGTCGCTAGAATTTTCAACAGTCTGGATAACATGAAGAGAGAATGAACTTTTCCCCTGCAAATGGAATATAATTTATTATAATCCTGTGCTTATCATGTCATAGATTTCATGTGTTGAATATAAGAACATAAGGTTAGAGAGAACTGAAAAAAATCGAAAGTTCTAATGGTGAACTTTTTCTGCGAAAAAAAAGTAAATCTATTTAATGGATTTGTCATTATTTTCTTTGGTATTTCATGGTAATAGAAGAAAGAAAATTCGATAAAGTGAATCTTTCGAATTCATCATTTTCGTTTTTTATTCGAACTTTTTTTTTCTCTTCTTTCAGCTATTATATTAAAAAGAATTAAAAATTCATTAACCGTTCAATTGACGAGGTTAATGGTCTACGTTCATGGTAATATCCTTTTCCCATGTAAAAAGAGATGCTCAGGAAGAGAGACTATGTCATCTTCATGATAAGTTAAACGAAGCAAAATAAAAACCGGAAGTTATTGTCATGTTGTAGAAGAAAAGATTTTTTTCTCTCTCTACTCGATTAGAACAAAGTTCTTATAATGATCGATTTCAGGTCTCTCATCAAAAGAAAAGCATAAGGCTATAATATTGACTCTTCTCTCTCTCCCCTTCATGATCATCTATATATATGAAGTCATGATAAACTCATTTCGCCGAAATTTATTACAGAATATAAAACGAGCCAAGGTTTGGTTATCATCTTGACCATTGGTCAGACAGATTTATGATCTAGATAGAAGAAGAAAAAAAACTTTTCCTCTTCTTCTTGTCCACTGATTTAATGTCCACTATTTATTTGTTCAGTTTCATGTTTCATGATATAACTTTTCATGTTGTTCAAGAAAGAGCGAGAGAGAGAGAGGAAAAAACTTCTCTTCGTTAATAACTTGTGATAAATTTAAAACTCTGCTTTTGAATTAATGTTTTCCCTCCGTTTATTTGTAAAAATGTAACAATTTGTTGATCATTTTATTAACTTTCCCAATTTGTCAATTTATTTTAATTGTAGTTAATTCATCATATTTTTAACGATCTATTCAAAATTAATTCGAGACGGTTAGAACTTTTCATTTTCTTCTACATGTATTATTTTTATTCCCATTTTAAACATAGATGCGATCGATAAAAGTTCATTAAAAGATATAAATCGAGCCGGAAAGAGAGAGAGAGAGAGAAAATTAATTCTTTTCAATACTTTTGTGATGAAATTTAATTTACTGTTGAAAATGAAATTTCCATATTGTCAGTTTGATTGTTGACCATTTATATATAACTAAAAGTTGTTAAGATTATCAGATAATGGAAATTAACTAAGTTGAACATAATAAAAATACTTATCATGAGAATCATTAATATTGTCATCATGTTTACTAATGAATGAAATGACATGAAAACAAAACAATGAAACTATTAATGACTTTACAAACAATCATCAAGGTGAGTTTACTTTACCAGGAGGGAGTGAACCCACTCTCTTAATGGTAATAAAGGTTAGTTGGGTTGGAGGAAAAGTTTTCTCCTCTCACTCTCTTTGCTGTTTACCTGGAAAATTATCATCATTAGGAGTATTTTTTTCATCAGAATTAATAATATCATCGACATTTGCCTGAGGTTATTTTGTAAGAACTAACTTCATCATCTTCTCCATGTTACTTAATACACCATACTATTAATGTTTATCCTTATCCGATGTCTCTCTCTCTCTCTCTCTCTCTCTCTCTCTCTCTCTCTCTCTTCACTCAATTTTTATTCACCTCCATTTCCACTCCCAATTTCATCATCATTACACACAATAGTATCAATTGAGTGAATCATTTCCAGACACTATGGAGTAACAGTCACAGATAAAAACAGAATCATAAGCAAAAGTACAACAGTTAATACAGATCAATGAACCATTGGGTACAAAGAGAAAGACAGAGAAAGAGGAT